TTCCCCATATTGGTTGTAGAACTGGTCCTCAACAACATAACTTTTGACACTCAGGTTACTCTAATAGAACTCTCATCACTAGATATATCTAAATCACTTAATGTAGACAATGTCAGTCCTCACATTTTACGCTTTTGTTCTACCTCAATGTCTACTCCACTTACTCTCATCTTTCAAAAGTCATTTGACTATGGGAAAATGCCAAACTCATGGTCCAAAGCAAATGTAACACCTTTATTTACGAAGGGCTCCGGAATCAAGCCATCAAACTACAGACCAATATCTCTCACCTTAATTCCATGTAAAATAATGGAGAAACTAGTTACGAAGGCAATTATGCAGCATCTAAAATCAAATACTCTTCTATCAAATAGTCAATATGACTTTTTAAAGAAAAAGCATGCATTACAAATCTCTTTGAAACAATTAACTTCTTGACTGGAAATATGGCCAGAAAACTACCAGTTGACCTCATATTCTTGGATTTTGCTAAAACAAATGCATAGAATCGAAGGTAATCATTTAGATAAAAGTTTTTCTTTTTAACAGGTCTCAACGAGTCATTCTTGGCGAAACTCAATCGAATTGGTTACCTGTGACAAAAGGGGTTCTGCAAGGATCAGTCTTGGGTCCAATTTTATTTGCCATTTTCATTAACGATCTACCTGATGTAATAGACAAAGAAAACCTTTGTAAGATCTACGCTGATGACACTAAAATCCTGAGCATCGTCAACACACTAGCTGCTCATCTTCAACTCCAAATAGATATTGACCAAATTGTTCATTTGACTAAGTCTTGGCTTATAGAGCTAAATGTAAAGAAATGCAAGGTCATGCACTTTGGCCAAAAAAATTAACTCCATTCAAGTACTCAATGGAGGAAATGTGCCCTTGTTCAATAACGACTCGAACTACATTGGAAGCAATCACCTCTGAGCGTGACTTGGGAACTCAAATTATCAATGATCTTAAAGTAGAAGCCCAATCCATCATTACCTTATGTAAAGCAAATATAAGGCTAGGCATCCTAAAACATACTTTTCAATGCCGTGATGCTTCTTTATGGAAACAACTCTACTCCACCTTCATCCGTCCTTTACATGAGTTTGCAATTCCAGCTTGGAACCCTTATTTAGTAAAGAACCCTAAATGAGGGTTCCACATTTAGAACCCTTAAAAGTAAAGGATAAACAAACTATTGAGCTAATACATCGCAGATCCACAAAAATATCAGACAAATGAAAAAGTTAGACTACAAGTCCAGATGTGTACAACTTGGCCTATCTACTATAGTTGATAGGCCAAGCTGTAAATTTAGCTCGCTTTCACTTTTTTAACAATCGCATTGTCAATGCATGGAACATGCTACCAGATAAAGTAATCAATTCTCTTATTGTTAACAGCTTTAAAGCTAGCCTCGATAATGTTACTACAGCTCGCAGCTTTAGGTTTTTTTCGTCATTTTGCACACATTTTACAATGTTATCCTTAAAATCTTACAAATATATATATATATATATATATATATATATAAATATATATATATATATATATATATATATATATATATATATATATATATATATATATATATATTTATATATATATATATATATATATATATATATATATATATATATATATATATATATATATATATATATATATATATATATATATATATATATATATATATATATATATGTATATATATATATACTAAATCTGACTGGGGTAAGTAGAAGACATAATGTTTTATCATCAAGCCCCTTCGTGAAATAGAGAGAAATATAATTTTACAAGTTCTAATATTATACAAAAGAGCAAATTTAAATTGTTTTAAAAATTAAAAAGAAAAAAGAAAAAATTTAAAAACAAATTGCAAAGTTTGCAAAAAAAAAAATTTTTAATTAAAATATTTCTTAGATGGTTTAGCAAACAGAATATTTTTCGTTTTTTCGTTTTTTAATTTTTTTTTTATTTTGTTTTTAATATTATTCAAAATAGTTCGGGTAAATCAATTAATCAGTAAAAAAAGAGTCTAAACTTTAATTATAATTATTATATTAGATTGTTTTGTGAAGTGTATATTTGCAACACAACTTATTTCAAATATATTGTAATTTTAAATTCTGGTATATATAAAACTACCATTTTTAAATGTTTTAATGAATAAAATTATCGGCTACAGTTCAATGATACTGCCGACGGTAAAATGATACTGCCTATGGCTAATAATACTGCCAATGGTGTATTAAAAAATAATTTGTGCCGATGACACGGGTTTTGAAGTCCTTTTAAAAAAATAAAAGTCCCTTGCCTATTGCTATGATTATTGTTTTCTTTAAAATATGTTTAGGTAAAAAAACATACAGTGGTAGATTTTTTGGGGTCAAGGTAAGAACATCAGTTTTTACCATGTCTAATAACATCTATCCAATAAAATCTTAGATTTCATTGGTGTCTAATAACATCTGTGCAAAAATTAATTGAATGTTACAGATCTAGTATCATTTTTTAAATTATCAAAGTGTAATAACTTCTGTGCAACTACATCTGTAGATTTCAAGATAAAGTTATTTTTAAGATGAATTAATGTAATTTCCTCGCAAGAAAACACAACAAGAAATTGTATTCATCTATCTCATAATTAAACTAACTTCTATTTCACCTCCTTCTTACAAAATCAATCAATAATTTATATTATACATCAATTATTCATTTAAAACTGTGTAAACATATTAAATATAATTACTAATTAAAAGTTATGCTAATCACAAACCGTATAGTTGTCTCTAACTGTTTTTAGAGTTTACTACAACATAATTACAATTAACTAATAATGCATTATTTTAACCAAATGTAGTTACATATAGACATTTTTTAGATGAAACTATATCTGGAGTAAATTCTTCCAGTTGTTATTAGACTTGGAGAAAAATTACCAGATGTAGTTACATCTTTCTAAAGATGTTGTTAAAAGTCGTTGAATTTTCAGATGGTATTGGACAGATGTTATTAGAATAAAAGACAATTACAGATGATCTTGGAAAACAGTGTGCAGATTATCATTACAATTTATTTTAAAAGATTTGGAATAAAATTAGGAATACCCTATTATGTCCTATCTTTCATTCCCCATTATTCCCCATTGGTGGCATATTGCTAAAAGTAGTGCCACATCTAAGAAAAACTTATTTCAAAATTCAAAAGTTTTAATAATGCCCAGTTCTATATTAGTAAAATGCAATAAGAACTTCATATATCACATAAAATAATAAAATTCAGCATCATTTAATAAGATACGGTTAAACTACATCGAAATTCATTTTAATTCATATTTATTTAGTCAAGACAAGTTTTATTAAAACTTTAAACTAATGCAACTGATGGTAGCATTTTGCTATATGATTATTCAAAATCAATCACTATTTAGTTATTTTCACAATCAAAACAAGGTCTATTTGCAAAAAATCTTTTTGTGTTTTGCAACATATTGTTTTAAAATTTGTATTGTGTGGACTTTATTGTGCATTATATTAAAAAAAAAAAAAGTACAACTCATATTTTAAAAAAAAAACACAAATAATATTAAAAAGTCTCTATAAAGCAAGAAATATATTAAGTAAACACCAGTTAACACAATTATATTATTCATTTATACAATGTCGTATAAGCTACGCAAATATTATATGGGGAAGCACTCATAAAACAAAGCTAAAATCTCTTTACCTTCATCAGAAACGCGCAGCTCGTGCAATAAATTTTAAAAATCGTTTTTTTCATACTAAACAACTTTTTAATGAAATGAAGATTTTAAATTTATATCTACTAAATGTCTTTAATATTTTATGTTTCATGTTTAAATGTAAAGAAAATTTGTTGCCAAATATATTACAAAATCTTTATTGTATAAAACCTAAAAACAAATATAGTCTTTGAACTTAAAACAATCTTGTTTCCCTTTTTCCCGTAAAAGCAAAGACCAGTTTTTTTTTTCGAGGTCCTTATCTCTGGAACAAAAGAGCCTAACTGAATTTCGATTTTTCTTCTCAACTGACTTTTACTTCAAACAAAAACTTAAAAGAATTATATTTTTATTTAAAAATATCTTGATTTATTTTTAAACGTTTTTTTTTTGTTGTTGTTGTTTTATTTTGTATATTATTTGATCTAACATTTTATCTTCGCTTTTTAGCATTTTATCTTGTTTTTTAAATACTTTTGCATAAAGTTGTGTTATTATTTTACTACAGAAAGTGTATTTATTAAAAACTATTTATATATTGTAATGGACTTCATGACAAGGTCGTCACAATCTTCTAGAAGTCCTGTCGCTACTAATATAAAAGCTGTAAAATATATTTGGTTGTTGTAAAAAAAAAAAAAAAAAACAAGTTTGCATAATGTAAGGTTGTTTTATAATAATTTAACTTCAAATGCTTGGTACTGAAAAAATGATTTTAGAAAAAAAAGTTTATAATAGTTAAAACAGTAATCATCAATTTTCATTGCATTTTTATATTGAAGTGATAAAATTGATTAATTTGCATAGTTCTATATGTTTTTATTCATCCTTAATAAATAAATATATAAATATTTTACTTTAAATATTAAGTAAATATACAAGAACCAAAATAGGAAGCGCAAGATTGTTTTTAAAAATACCATTTTTAAAAGAAAAAAACAACAGATGATTTTAAAAAGAATGTAAACCAAAATAATGACAAATATTTTAGAGTAATGTGTAATTTATTCAATGTTATTATTTTATTTAGATAAAAAAAATTCAAAAAAAACTTTTCAAAAAATTTTGATTTTTAAAAGGATTTTAAAAAGGCATTGGTATTTTCTGTTAAATTTTCTACCTAAGGTTGTTCCATTAGGCTGTTTTGTTGAGTTGGGAAATGGAGAACCTAACTCAAAAAGAGGCTACTTTATTGTTGTGGACTTTAGGAGGTGAATTTGTAATTTTAAATTGTAATCTATAATTTTTAGGTGCTTTCATAGATGGATATCAAACTTATTTCAAAACAGTTTCTTCTATCATTTCCTTATTATTAGGAAAGTTTAATTACAGTCAGTTTAAAAATGCAAACCCTGTTCTTGGACCAATATTTTTTTTAACAATTAGTATCACTTTTATTTGGATAGTGATAAATATGTTTATATCCATCCTAGTTGATGCTTTTCAAGTAGTCCATGAAAGTCTTGAACATGAGAAAAATGACTATGAGATGGTTGACTTTATATTGGAGCATTTTAAAGGTTTTTTTGCTTACTTATTTATTTATATTTTTATTTATTTTTATTCAAATACCTGCTAATTTTTGTATTATGGTCAAAAAAGGTAAAAGTGAACAAGATGATTATGAGGTCAGCATTAATATACTGAGTAAAAAAATCTTTAATTTTTAAAAAAAAATTGAGTAAATTTTGTCTTAAATATATTTTACATATTTTCTGTAGATTTAACATTCCTTAAAGCAATACTGTGTTATATACTCTAGTTCAAAATAATTTTAGGACTTTATATTGCACCAGACTATTTGCCTTAATACTGAACATATATCCTTCGCTCTCATGAGAGATATCCAGCATTAATAGCAATAGTAATATATAAGTAATTATTGATGATCTCAAGATCTTGCTTGCTTGCACCCAGTTGTATATATATTTTTATCACTATGTTTATTGTGGTAAATACAACCCGAATTAAACTTTAAATTTGATTTGAAAGTTTATTCATAAACCTGAAATAAATAGTTTTTTAAAATCCGACAAAGCAAATTTGTAAAATTTTATATGTTCAAAGAAGTATTGATTGATAGGTCACTAAAACAAAATTCTTATAAAAATGTATCACTTTGGTTTTAAAAACTAGTCAGGATCTTGTTCTATCTTTTTAAGTTTTGAAATAAAAATTTTTAAAAGATAATTATTTTAAAAGGTAACATTTTTTAATTTTGATATAAAACGATGAAAGAAAGTGATTAGCGATTGCTTTTTTTACTTGTATGCCCCTATTTTTTATGGATGGGCACAGAATAAATTTAAAATATTTTGCAGTTAGTTTAGAGTTTTTAAGTACCCTTTAAATAGTTTTTATTTCTGGTCTGTTATTTTGTTTCCATTATTTCAACAATTCGACTTAATATAAAACTTTATAATAAATGTGTAAATATTTTTAATATAAAATATTTGTTGATGTTAAGATTTTATTGTTTTAATATTTTAATATTTAATATTTTGCTTTAACTCTAAACTTAAAATAATTTAGATTGGCTTGGATTTAAATCATTAAAAAATGATGACATGACACACCAAAATGATGTTATTGATACAAATTTAAATTCTGTGTTAGATACTTCTGCTTCAGTTACTTCAGAGGGAAAATTTAAAAAGAATTTCTTTGATCTTTGTAAAGGTACGTAGTTAAGATATGAAGCTGATGAAGGAATATGTTCTACATATTTTTATTTATGTTTTTAACTTAAAAAAACAAACAAGGCACATGTTTTCAGGATTTTTAAATTAAAAAATGTTTACAGTTAGTTTAATCGGATTTTTTTTTCATGTTTATTGATTAGCAAATCAAATTAATTTTTTCGATTGTTATGCAGATTGTGTGAACCAAAATAACATAAAGGGAGAGTAAGCAATATGATAAAATGCTTTTTACATTTCAAAAAAAAATAATAATAATAGCATGTGGTCACTCTTTCCACTATAAAAAAAATTATATGATAAATCCAAAAAAACATAATAAATATGTTTTAGATTCTTTATAATTTTTTTTAGATTAACGCCTATGCTTAAAAACATGTCTGTAATAATATTTTTACGATATATAAAAAGTTGCTTAAACTCATTAGGGGTATTTGAGTACGTTAATAATAAAACTGATTTAATTTTGTAATAAATATTTTGTAATAGTCTCTGCAATATTTCAAAATGATTTTTTTTTTTTTAATGTTTATTTTCATATTTTGGTTTTTGGTCCGTTTTTTACCCTTATGAGTCACTGCGTTGTGTTTATTGGAAAAAAACTTGGTGTTTTGGTATAGTATTTTTGAACAAAACAAATATTATCTTGATGTATTCAATATCTTGGTCTAGCACTCCATTGCATGTTGACTTCGATGTATTTACCAAAGCTAACAAGCCTCTAACTCGATTTCTTTACTCGTTGAAAATTTCCGCAATCCACTTTTTCTTATTTTACCAATGTCATGCAAATGGATGCAGTATTTTTTCTATTTAATATCTTAGTCAAGTTTTGTGCAAACCTTGGTCTATTAGTTTTGCTTTTCAATGCTGTTGTTTGGTTATTGCGCTATTCTTGGTTTGTTAGTTGTTTTATTCTGTATAATGCTGTGGCAGTTGTCAATATCTTGGTGTAATAATGTTATTTTTGTTGTGTAATTTCTGTTATTTTTGTTCTGGTTGTTTTTGTTTTGTAATTTTGTTATTCATTTATTATTGCGTAATCACTTTAATTTTTAGAGTTAAATGGTGAGTTGAATAAGTTAAATTTTTATAACAAAATCATATAAATAATATTATTAGCCGAATATAATTTGTAAAATGATATCAAAATATTTTAGTTAAAAAAGAAAGGCTTCATGCAGTTGATACAACAACTAATGATAACCCTACAATGACTTTGATTGAACGAAGTTTTTCCAAATATGATTATTTATTAAACGATAATGACGTCGATGCAAACGAATCACTAAACAAATTTATTGTTTGTGCAAACCTTCTCCTCGAATCTTCTTTGGCTGAGGAAAATAATAATGTTTCAAAAAAGGTTGAATGCCGTACGAATAACTTAAAAACTGACGCCGAAGAAAAAAATCATCACGTTTTTTTGAACATGATGATTGTTTAAAAAAAAAAAGATATAGATATCATATAAAAAAAAAGATATAGATATCATATAAAAAAAAAGATATAGATATCATATAAAAAAAAAGATATAGATATCATATAAAAAAAAAGATATAGATATCATATAAAAAAAAAGATATAGATATCATATAAAAAAAAAGATATAGATATCATATAAAAAATCTACTAATCTGATTAAAAATCAAAGTGAAAAGAAAATCAGAAAACAATCATCACTTATTCTAAAACAACTTATGGCTATTAATTGATATTCACGTGTTAAACAGGACTCAAAAACTGTCATTTACTTTTATTATTATTATTATTATTATTATTTTATATATTTAGTTTTTTCATGAAACTTTATAACTGTAATTTATATTTATAAGATTAAATAAGAAGTTAAAGAATGATATAATATTATTTATTTGAACGCATTCGGTAATATTTATGAAATTAGCTTAAAAAGATACAATATTATTTTCTATTGAATAATATATGATGAATCATATTTATGATGAATCATAATTGTATGTTGAATTTAGGAAAAATATAGAAATCTATTATATGTCGCAATAACTTATATATGTATATATATTTACATATATTGATTAAAACATTATATATTGTTTATGCCTTTAAAACATATATTATTTATTGTATATATGATGGAAAAATATATATTTGTTCTATTAAATTTTGCATGACGTATTGTTAATATATTATGTATTCTATATATGTTTAAATCATATCTTATATATGTTTAAATCATATATTTCTTGTATATATATATATATATATATATATATATATATATATATATATATATATATATATATATATATATATATATATATATATATATATATATGTATATATATTGTTAAAATGTTTGTATATGTGGGTGGAATGTATGAATTTAATAGAGTTGTATAACAACTCTTTGTGTTTCCTGTTCAATTTTTAAAGTAAAAACTCGCTATAGATCCTTTTAAATATTTAGAATAAAGATTCAGAAAAAAACTCGCTCAACAGTTCCTCAAAATATAAAACTCCAACTTTATTCCGTTTCTTACTTTTTATAAATATGTTACAAATGCCACCGTTACGACAAAATTTTCAGCTCAAATTAATTTTTTTTTTTGTTGTTGTTTTTTTTTTATTAAATTTCAAATTAGCGTTTCGTTACAATATTTAAAACACAAATATATGATAATAACAAAAATTTATATGTATAAGTAATCATTGCTACAAGGCTATCTTTATAACAGACCTTGCAATCGCACAATTAAATGGAGAGACTTGAAGCTGATTTTTTAGCGGAAACTTGAAAGCAATTAAAAAATTTTATATCTTGCATACACTATGCCTCGGTAGTGTTGTGTAACTTAATGCTCGCCTAACTTTGAAAAAAAGAATGAAAAATAATTTTATCGTTTATCTGTTTATCTTTTTCAGTTACCAGTTTAACTGTAAATGATAGCAAATTAACAGTTTTAGTGATGCTGATAACTTAGAACTCAGTGACATTATGATAAAGGTTGAAACCGAACAACTACCAGTTCTAAGATTCAAGTTTAGTGATGACAATGTCTTACAATCAAAAGATTTTATTCAAGGAACTGGAGTACCACTGTAAAGATTATTCCAATTATCTAACCTTTTAGTTTTAATAATAATATATTAGATGCTATATGATAATATATTTTAAATTTTATGATAAAATACTCTACTTTATGACATGATAATGTTTTTTTCTAAATATTTTTGCTCCCATATTTATGAAAATCACAAGAATAAAATAAAATAAAAATGAATAATAAAATGCATAAACGAAAGTTTATAAACATTCTAGTTTATAAAGTTTATAAACTTTCAAGTTAATAAGGTTATAAACTAAACTTAAAATTACTAATCGATCAAAGTTTATTTAGTCGAGTAATAATCTTAAAGTCTATAAATCTTTTTTATTTTATTTAACTTTTTCAAACTTTTACTTTTGTTTAATCGTTTATTAATAATAACATGTACTATCACACGTATTACCATCTGTTTTTTGTTTACTCTCATAAAGTTTTATCTTAGGAATATTTATACCTAACTAATTAATCAGCTAGAAATATTGCTAACATGCTATTAATTTTAAAAAAGCTTTAAGAGATAAAACTTTAGGAGAGTAAAAGAAAAAACAGTAATATCAAACAAAAGTTAAAGTTTAAAAAAGTTAAATAAAAAAGATTTATAGACAAGATTATTACTCGACTAAATAAACTTTAGTCAATTAGTAAAAATCTATAGTCGCATAAATTGACAATTCGACTTTTTGACTACCCAATGGGCACACGGACGTCCATAGTAAGTCCAAAATGGTTTGCTCAGACGTCCAATATTCGGAGGTCTAAATTGTTGGACGTCCAACGGACGTCTAATAATTTAGACATTAAAATACTATATTACTGTATATACTATATAACGTGGCGAAGAAGGAGTTGAATTTTGCTAGATCAATCTGTTGTTTTTAGAACAAGTTAATTGAAAAGGTATAAGAACTCTGAAATATACTTGCATCAGAATCGGCGTCATTCAGAAATTTCTGTTTATATTGATTTTGCTGTGATCCGTCACAACCCCATTTACAATTTAATATTAATGAACTTCTTTCTTTTTCTTTTAAATTTTGTACCACTTCTTCTAAATATATGACCAATCGTGTAATCGTATGGTCCAATAAATCTTGTAAACTGACTGCGATACAAGTTTCAGTGACATAATAAAATTCTTTAATGGGATAATAATCTACTTCTGCTTTTCGCAGGATACTATAACAAGGATATATTGATTTGAATTGTATCGATTTGGAGTTGACCTGATAACTGTCGTTACAGAAAGGTTTAAAATTATAATTACATAGAGTCAGTGAGGCACATTTTATTGCTCTAGATGATATAGTGTATCTGGCGAAATCTTTTAAAAGTCTAAGCAATCTTGTTGATATTCCTATATTGATGAATGGCAACATTTTTACAGTGTCTTCACTTTACATCATCTCTGATTATCTTTTTGTAATGACCTCTTATGGAGACCTTATACAAATCATTGCTAACTTAGTATTTGTATACAGTAATATAGTATTTTAATGCTCCTAGGTGCTCTAAAAAAATCTTATTTGTCTAGTTTTTTTTCCTACAACATCAGTTTTTAATAATACTCTCCATTCATCTTGTTTTCCTGACTCATATAATTTGCAATCTTTTTAGTTGCCTGTTTACTTTGCTTTAAATCTTTATCTTGGGTCTTCCAGTAACTTCCAACTCTAAAAGTTGTTGTTTCCAGCCTTGTTGGAAACACGGATAATTAAAATAAAAAGTCGATTTTGCATAATTCAACAATTTTGATGATTTGTTACCTTCTGTTAATTGTTCTGTTTCAACTTCTACCCAAATATCTTCTGGAACAAGTTCTAGAGAATTTGTTCAAGAAGATGTTTCTGCTTCTAAAAGTTTATTTTTGATTTAAACTTGAAAACTATAATTGTTTTTTCAAGCTCTGTTATTTAAACTTTTATTGTAGACAAGTCTTTATCAAGTCATTCAGATGATTGTCTTCTTGAAACTCAAGTTATGAATAGAATCTCCCAGCTTCCAATTAGGATCACCAACTAATTTATTATTAATATTATAAATAAGGCTTATTAAGTCTTAATAAGGATTATATCTTATTCACATCCTTATTAGGCCATAATTTAAGGATGTGAATAAGGAATAACTTAAGGGTGTGAATAAGAAATAATCCTTAATAAGGATTATTAAATGGTATAAAAATCTTGTTCTTTCATCAATAATGGAAAGAACAATGATTTTTATATCATTTCAAGCAGTTATATATTATTTTCATAAAACAAACCGTCCTATTTAGCTACTATTTAAGTTTTTAATTAAATAAAATAAAAATATCGTCAAATTTCATATAAATAACGAAAATATTTATTTATAACTTAGTAAACAAACGCAAAAACGAAAACAAAAAACGTCATAAAATACGCGAAAAATATGCATATAATGCATACATAGTTTTAAAACAAAATTCCTAAGCATCAAATCTTCAAGAAAACATAAATAAATACTTGATTTAGAAAGAGGAAAGGATAAACTTGCATTTTGGACAGGCAACCTTTTTTAAAAAAGTTTTTTTTCAACTAAATCAACCTTAAAGTTTTTAAAGTTGAGAACTAAAAATTTTGTATAAATTTGAAAAAAGTTCCCCTTTCCATTCGATTCCTCATCCTTTTTTAAATCTATATGGAAATTTTCATGCAAATTGTATGTGTTTTAGTGCTTAGGAAATCTTGCCTTTAAAAGTTACTTTTGAAAAAACGTGTTCGTAGCAACATTTTTTAGCAAAAGTGGTCTTGATATTGATAAAATTTACATGAATATGACACATAGTACTTTCTATATATGGCTGGAAAAAGGAAAAAAAGACACACTAACTGATGCAAAAAACCTCAAGCTGCTTACTTAAACCTAAAAAAAGATATAAGAGAGTGAAGTTTATGAAGCTTTGGTGTTTTTTGTCAAACGTCATATGTTTTTTGTAGCGCCGTCGAATCGCTACCATAGTTTATTGATCGAATAATCTTTTGGTTTTGACGCAAAATTTTCCTTCTTCTTCAAAAACTCATAAAACTGTTCCGTCAATCTAAACCCTTTTATGACGTTGAAGCTAATAATATGTACGGTGGCAAGAATTTAATAATTCAGATGGAACTAAAAAATTTATGATTATTTATTGACTGCGAAACTTATTTAATTGAACTCTCATAATGTTTATAAATTTTGTATTATAATTAAAAATTAAAACATCGAACAACAAAAAAAAAAGAAATACAAATTGAAATCAATGTTGAAATTGAAAACAATTTTAAAATATTTTATTTCAGCTAAATTTGAAACCTCAGTGTTGCATCAAACAAAAATTGTTACATCAAAAAGGCTTTAAGAAGATTTTATGAGTGTTTTAACATAAATAAACAACATAAAATATGGTATTTTTCTCAGTTTTAAAATTTTTATCTTATTTATTTTTCTTATTTATTTTTTTATTATTTATTTTCTATTAATTTAGTTTCAAATTAGAAAATATTTAATAATAAAAAAGTGCGCATAAATTTTTTTTTTATCTACAATTTTTAAAAAATATTGTTGCTAACACTAACATTAATAGTCAAACTAATTGAATCATGTAATTCTGCAAGAGAACTTGGTAATGTCTTGAATTATTGGATGTTCTCATAGAATATAGAGTCAGGATCTATCATTTTAAAAATCAATAATTTTATTTTGTGGCTAGCAAAGCATATTTTACACTAGGTTATAAATGTCTTACAATTGTATTTTCAGAAGAAAAACTGATTATTTCTTTTTTAACTTCTATATCACTCATGTTCTTTAAATTTTGAACTTTTACTTTATTTTATTTTTTTTTCTTTATTTTTTTTTCATATATATATATATATATATATATATATATATATATATATATATATATATATATATATATATATATATATATATATATATATATATATATATATATATATATATATATATATATATATATATATATATATATATATATATATATATATATATATATATATATATATATATACATACATATATTGTGTATTTTGTTTATAAGTAACAATAAGTAATACTGATAATTAGTAATATTAAGTAATATTTTCTTATTTACAATATAAAAAAAAAAAAAGTTACATAAATGCATATTTTTTTTATTATTCTAAATAAGAAAATGTTCTTTTAAATCATTTATGAAATTATCGTTAGACGAATTAATCTTAAATCCACAATAAAGCAATTTGAAAACAAACTAATCTTTATTGTGAATAAATAAAATAATTTTGTTGATAAATAATTTCAAAACTTCTAACCAAAATAGGTTTTTTCCTCATCACTTCTATGTGTGAGTTAGCGACAAGATCAGTTAAGGTCTCTTAAGCGCGGTAGTAATGGTGCTAAGCACGGACAAATAGTATTTTTAGTATTTTAAAATATTAAAAATACTAATTTAAAATAATAAAAATACTATTTTTTTATATATGTCTGTGATTATACTATTTGTAATAGTTTGCAGAGTCTTTAATTGTAAACTTTAGAACAGAACAGAATAAAAGTGACACGTTAACTCATACGAGTTGAAACTGAAATTACATAAGATTTTATAATAGCCAAAATAAAAAAAAGTGTAAAAACGATCAAGCAATAATCAAGTCCTGAGATATACAGTTTAAATGGCCATGTGTATATCGATGTGTCTATTGATGTGTCTATCGATGTGTCTATCGATGTGTCTATTAATGTTTCAATTGATGTATTGATGGTTGCTTGTATTAGAACATTACAGTCATTTACAGCTCTTAGCTGATTGTGCCTGATTGTGTTCAACTTGCAATTATTTTGTGCTTTTACTAACTCTTTATGGATTTTTAAGTTTTTAAGCTTCTTGCACAACCATTTTTTTTCAAGCAAGTTTTAAAGCCTCTTGCACATTTATTAGTGCAAAAATATTTAATTGGACACTGCAAACTCGTTTCGTTAATTTTTTTTTTTTTTTAAATTTGAAAATTTAGATTAAATTACCACACCTGCTGTTTTCTAATGAGAGTAATTTTAGTTTTAAATTTCTTTCTTCAAAACCATCATCACATAAAAACAAACTATATAATCAAATTACTCAAAAAAAGAATTTAAAATAATAATAGTAATAAATTAGATTTACAATAATAATAAAATAAAAGATAAATATTAAAGATAAAAAACGATAAACAAAGATAATGATAGTAATGGTTAAGTAATAAAGAAATGAGTGTAAATCACTGAACCACTAATCCAAGCAGTGAAACCAAAGATTAAAAGTTATAACAACAACACTCAGAAGTAAATAAAAATGATAGTAAAAGTAAATGGCAATGATAACTGTGTTTATTATGTATGACTAAATTTTAATAAGTCAATGAACCAGGGACGTGCAAAAGAACCAGGGACGTGCACAAGATTTTTGATGTTTCAGATATTACACTTTCACGTATTATACTAACTCCAAACTTAAACATGCTTATGCCTATACCAAATAAGGAGGCTATGCAAAAAATTGCGATGATGGAGGCCCAGGAACAAAAATACCACAAAAATATTGGCTCTCCCAACCGCAAACATGAGGGCAGTTATGTAGTTAAGTTTTCAACTTTACTATCTTATACTAAAATTAATTCATCGACAGGTCTCAGATTTTATGTAAATATATTGTAATACAAAAGTTATGATCTGGCAAAATTTACAACTCCCTTATTTTAGGGGGATTGGATCAGGGAGTCATAAAGTTTGTAATTTACACATTTTTTAATAAAATTTGAAACCTGTCGATGAATTATTTTAGTTTTTTCATTTATTTCAGTTTAGTATAAGATAGTAAAGTTACTTATAACTGCACTCACGTTTGGGCAAGGGGGAACAACATTTTCAGGGTATTTTATTCCCGGGTCTTCATCGTCGCACTTTTTTGCAAAGCCTCTTCGTATGTCATAGACATGAACATACTTAAGTTTAGAGTTAGCACAATACATGAAACTGTTGTATCCGAAACATCAAAAAATTCTGTGGGCGCTTCTGATAATAATAGTATAAATAAATGAGCGCTCCTGATAATAATAGTATTAATAAAAAGTAACGGTCTAAATAAATAGTTGTAACAATGAAAAGTAAATAATTGATATGTCATTTCAACAAAAAAAATGATCAAAGGAGGGACACCAAACACTTATTAATTATCAAATAATATAAATCAGTTTATCAAACAAATGATATAGTTTTAAACTACAGTTTGCAAACAATTCCCAAATGGATGAACTATTTGTGTAGCAATCATAGCAAAACCAAAAAGGTAAGAGCCATATTTACGAATTTTAAACCAGATTTTCAATAGTGGAACGAATAGTGAATAATATACTATTTAATGAATGTTTTATAAAGAACAAGATTTGGTCAACTTTGTAACCGAAGTTTAGTAAATGCTTGTATTAAAGTTCTTAATTTTTATTTAATTTCTATCATTATTTTAAAATAATCTTTCATTGTAAACATTTTAACTTTATGTATTTGTATAAAAATTTTCATGTATTAAAGAACAAAAAAAAATAAAGAAAAAATTAAAAAATAAAATAAAAGTTCAAAATTTAAAGAACATTTGTTCAAATTTAATTGGCAAAGTAAAACAAGCGTTTGTGTTTAGTTTAGTTTTTACCAAAAGGATGTTATTGTGATAATATGTAAAGTTCGCTGTGCTCGCGGAATCGAATAAAATTCACACCCTGTAAATACCCATGATAACATCACCCGAAAGGACCGAACAAATCCTTTTAGGTGGGCATTATATAGACCTTGTGTGAACATTTAGAGCCATTTTTGAAATCTTTTAACTACGTCCGAGCCATTTTTTTCATTTTAAAGTTATGTAGTGAAAATAACCAAAAATCCAATATTTTCCAAAAAAATAAACTGCTTAAACTCATAATTTACAGTGATTTTTTAAGCTGTTGGTATTTAGAGATCACTATACAATAACTTTAAATCATTTCAAACATTCAAAATTTTGTCATAGCCATTTTTCTTATTTTAAAGCTTTATTGTAAAATAAACACAAAGTGTAAAATTCAATATAGTATATTTTCACAATCATCTTCATCTGAACAATATTTATGATAAAAAATAAACAGATTCTTACATATTGCAAGTTAGAGACTAGAACTAAAAGCTCTCTTTATAAAATACAAAAGTTCAAAAACAGTTTTTTAATTTCTTAAAAAAAATTCTAAAATGTGCAATTTCTGATTTTTTATTCCAAGACATATATTTCTGAAAAAAGTTGAGTTTGGAGGTGTTGTTTGTTACAGATGCTTGCTGTTATAGTCAACAACACAATTGAAGAGTTGTTTCCCATAATCTGGATGAGTTGGGATGCGCTTGTACCGCTCCCAATGAAACTTGAACCTTGAATGCATTGCTTCGGTTGCTTGCTCGCTGAAGATTCCGAGGGAGGTTTGATGTTTTTCTACAAATTCTGAAACATGGTAGAAAACAGCATGTACCTTAGGAGTCACGGAGATTGGCAAGAATAGGAAAGAAGTTTTAAACTTCTGAATCTTTTCTTTATAGTCTTCCTGCAGAGTTGTTCCAAAGCATGAAGTAACAACTTCTTTGAAATGTCTGAGAGTTTCAATGAAACCAAATGCTTGATAGGCACAAGCTTTTTCTGCCAGCATTTGGAGAATGTCAAGGTTTTGCAAAAGCTTATGACGTTCATTGCCAGCAAAGTGTCCGCCATGGTATGGCTGGAGCTGAATGTGCAACAAAGTTGGCCATTCTTTGGCACCAGGCCATAAATCAGAAAGATTCTTGTAAAGATGATTGACAATGCCAAGAAGTAAATGGAGTTCCATTGGTGGAATCACATCCAAAATGAGTGTTGAGTAATCCATGCTAATCAGTGGTGGATGGATAACATTGTCAAAATCTTTTGCTGATTTCGTATCTGATCCAGTTGCAACAAAGGCTTCAAATTTTTCCTTCATTGATCCAAAACTTCTGGAAGTTCCACATTCTGACAGATTGTCAGAATCAATGTTGCACCAGCAACAAGGGTGTTTGCTTGAATGGGATTGAATTCCACAAATGATGTTGGCCATTTTGAGATCGCATGAAATGCAGAATGAAACATCATTTAATTGAATGATGTTCATCATCACTTTAACGTTCTCGTATGTTTCAGAAACATTTTCAGCAATGGCAACTATGAGTTGACGCTTGACACCTGTGTCTCTGGCAGTTGAGCTTGTCAGCAAGCGAAGACTTTTTGGTTGAGGACTTCTTGTTTCGTCATCTTCATCAGTTACTTTGATAACTGATAAGCTCATTTTCAAGAATGATCCTCCTCCATCAATGCCAAGCTTGACAAAATGATTGTAGC